GCTTAGGCCCGCACGTGGCCAGCATCAGATGTTTTGAACACTGATGGATTTTAAAGCGTAAGGTTATAATTTGAGAACCCGGTAAATTCTTACTTGCAACGTACAGCTGTTTGTCTTTTGCACAGAGAAACTATTATTATAGAGGAGAAAGAAAAAAGATCGTAAACAGAAACATTAAAGAGCAACAAACCTAATACAGATCCTTGTAGAATTCCCAGCCTCACAAGAGAATCAAAATCATGTTTGGAACCTGTTTTAATTTCTAGTTTATTTCAATCTTTTTTCTACTTTATCTTTAGCTCTAACAATTATTGAATGAGGCTAATATATTTGAAGAATTATGGAGATCGAGAAGGATGTTATCTCATTAATTCTACAGATCATACGAAATGCGAATCCAAAATTGTTTTTTTATTCATTCAAAATAACTCCTAGTTTAAAAACAAGCTAAAATATACATTGAACCTCGATCGATGTTAAGTTCCTTTCTTCAATTCCCTGATTATCGGCAAGTTCAGGAGATAAAGGGATGCTTAGTTCTGCAGATATTCTCCAAATAGCAGATGTCGTCCATCAAGTTGTATTCTTTCTTTTTATTGGGCTGCCCATATATGGCACAGCCCAACCGAAAAATTGGAGGGCCTTGTCTGTGTAGCAAAAAGACAATAGAAGACCGATCAAATTACGTTTCCCATCCCCTCTTTGATGGGCCACCTTTTTCAGTTATTAGGGGGAGGGGGGTCATTTAAAAACAAAATCATTGCAAACCGTTATTAGTCCTTTATTTAAACCTAAAAAAACTGGAAAAGAAAATCCGAAGCAACGATGAGTTTCTTTTGAGTTTTTTTTTTTTCACTTTCTCGTATATCATAAATTAAATTTTAAGCCTTTTGATAAATGTTTTCCCTTTCAAAAGGCGATTACAAATCTCCGTCCGAGTGTCGGTGTGTGCATCCCGCATTGAATGAGAATGTGTCTGAAGTTATCGTATGGCGCTTTTTTCAATGCCTTCTTCAAAAGATGGTAGGATGAGTCGCTTTCGAGATTTTCCTTCACTATACAAGAAAGTTCTTAGCGTTTGATAAGTGCTTTCTCTCCCAACAAGTGACAGCAAATTTCTTTTGAAAGTTATTGCTATTCTCTCCCTGCTTGTGGAAAGTCATTTCTGTAGATCGCCTCATCAAGTAGAAACATTTTCACCTGGATAGTCTGAAGGGCCTTAAACCCATCATCCGGGAGAGAAACAAAACTAAAACTTAAGTTGCTTTGCGAGTTTTAAGAAACGGAAAATTACTGCTATAAAACAGTATTTCACGAAAAGTTGACCCTGTCACGTTTTTATATCAAGCCATTTTTTCGGTAAGAATGGCGCTGAAAACCTTGCATTGCATGACCAAGGGCTCTGCGTGGCGGCGCGCTTGTTTGCTGAGGAGATAAACACAGAGTCGGATTTGGTTGGAGAAAATTTGGCCACCAAAGGTGACGAACTTTATTTTCAAGATCTGCCAATATATAATAAACTAAATATCTCTTCAGCAAAGGTGGGGGAAAAAACCGCCACCCACTAAGACAAGAAAGAGAAACACACTAGGAATTAATTCGAAGGCAGGCGGAAGGGGAGGTGGTGGAAAATGCTGAAAATTGGTTCAAACCAGCGATGTGAACAACGTGATGGTGAGCGATCGAAAGGGGGCGAGCACATGGAAAAGCGCCCCTAAGAATGATAAGTCCGGAACGCCCTAAATTCTGATTGGCTGGAAATAAGATAGGCTTGGAACCTACCGCCTTGGTCTGCAAACTATTATCAAATGCCTTGTCATAAAATCTCATTATGATGTCGTCATAACGGTGTCTTTTTATATCAAGCCATTTTTTCGGTAAGAATGGCGCTGAAAACCTTGCATTGCGTGACCAAGGGCTCTGCGTGGCGGCGCGCTTGTTTGCTGAGGAGATAAACACAGAGTCGGATTTGGTTGGAGAAAATTTGGCCACCAAAGGTGACGAACTTTATTTTCAAGATCTGCCAATATATAATAAACTAAATATCTCTTCAGCAAAGGTGGGGGAAAAAACCGCCAAAGAGCCACAGAGTGTGGCACCCCCACCAAGACGCCAGCAGAGCCCGTGGGCAAGTAGGTCGGGAAGTTGCAGCCCTTGCGTGACCAACTTCACCAACCGACTAGAGAGCTATTAAAGCTTAAAACATGAAACCTTTATATTGCTTTAAGAGATGATGCAGCCCCCGTCTGACCATCATTTTTTTTTTTGTTTTGTTTTTGTTTGTTGGATACAGCGAAACAGACTCTGCAATGCAGAAACGCACTGCAGAGTCCTTGTATGAGATGATGCAGCCCCTGTCTGACCATCATCGCATACACACACGGCATTGTAAAATGTTACGGTTTTATAAAGTACTACAAACACGTCATGGTGCAGCCCTTGCGTGATCACCAATTAGGTAGAAGAGCCCCTGAGTGGAGCGAAAAGTTCTACAGTATGACAGACAAGACGCATGGCAACCCATGTCTGACCCATGCGAAATTAAATTCCTTGTAATGTAGAATTACGAATGTAAAGTTTAAAGGCATCAGACTTCCATCGGCCAAGAGCGCGAATCTGGGCGTCAGAAAAACCTTTGTCTGCTGCGAGACAGGCCGCGTCGATGCGAAAGCTGTGACTCTTATAGCGCTGAGCATTCAAACCACAGAAATTTAAGCAGCGCCTAAGTTCGGTGTTAAATTGATTAACCGTAATGGGTGTATTGTCGGTATGGCAGAAGAGGGGACCGGGCTTGTTACCCCGAAGATTGCAATACCGGAGTATGAACTTCACAGGACAAAACGGTGAAGGTTCATCACAAGGAATAACAATGTCAAAAGGGCGATTGCTTGTATTATGTTTGAAATGGGTGATTGTGATCTTAATAGAGTGGATTTTCCCACCGGATGCAAGGAATCGGATGTTATCGTACGAAATTACGGTAGTGTGACACGCGCTCCTGGCCGCTAGTCCACCGATGCGAAAGAAACCATAGAAAGCTGTGAGAAACATGGCTGAAAAAAGTATTCGCTGTGCTGCCGAAGAGTTGGTGTGCTGGAGAGAGCTTACGAGGTCATACAAGATAGGTTTAGATATCGGTAACCTGACATCACACGATTTCTTACGACTGAGCGAGGTCAAAAGTTTTTGAATAAGGAAAGCCTTGGTGGGGTCATGCAAACCTTTCATCTTGTGGACGTAACCAATGGCCGATAGATAAGAAAGAATAGTCGAAGGCGAAAGATTTCTACCGTCGAGAAAAGAAATAAAAAGCGCCAAAGACGCGGTGGTTAACGGTAAATGGAAGGCTTTTGTCTTGCAAAATTTCTCGTGAAATTCACGAAATAGTGTCCACGCTCTACGGTATGACTGACCCGAACCTTACGCCAATACAGAGCTCAAGAGACTCTCTAAGTTAGCGACCAACTCTTCGGCAAAAGAATCTCGGGCACTATTGTTGGCAATTCGTCTGCTTGGGGTGAAAGTTCCTTGAACCGTGCTATCTGAAATCGTGAAAGACGATCGGCCCTGGTATTATTAAGACCTGGTATATGTCGAGCACGAAAGATAATGTTATAATTGAGAGCAGTTAGAACCAAGTCACGGATCATTATCATAACTAATTTGTGTTTGGATGTCTGTTGATTGATAATACTGACCAGCGTAGCGTTATCAGTAACAAACACGATACATAGGTTAGCCATCTGAGAACCCCAAATACGCACTGAGAGGGTAATAGGAAATAGTTCGAGAAAGGTAATATTGAAGGATTGCCACTGATCTGTAAAAGAGCCGAAGAACCAGTGAGGGCCAAAGATAGCACCATAGCCCTTTGATCCGGCCGCATCGGTATACAATTCGAGAGGAGGAGATGTGTTCCACTTTTCATCCAAGAAAAAGGAACGGCCATTAAATTCCCTCAGAAATTTTAGCCATACCTCCATATCGTGTTTGGTTTCTTTAGTGAGCCTAATGCGATGATGTGGGCGTCTCCCCCCAATAGTGAGATCAATTAGGCGGCGAAGAAAAGCACGCCCAGGTACGATTACAGAACACGTAAAATTTAATAGACCTATTAGGGACTGTAATTCTCGCAAGGTAACTTTACGACGTTTGCAAAAGGATTCAAGTAACAGGCGGCATTTTTGAAGCTTATCTTCCGGCAAACGAGCTTTCTGATTAATTGAATCGAGTGTGATACCCGCAAATTGTATGACTTGAGATGGTCCACAAGTTTTTTCCTGAGCAATGGGCACGCCGAGATAATCACACATACGAAGAAAATTGCTTAAATCGGTGCGGCATTGCTCTTCGGTACGCGCAATAAAAAGAAAGTCGTCAAGAATGTGAAGAACTCCGGATGCGCCAAATCGATGCACAGAGATCCACTCCAAGGAAGAACTAAAAGCTTCAAAAATTTGACACGAGGATGACAGTCCCATAGGAAGACATACGTCAAAGTAAAACTGATTATCCCATTTCATGCCTAGCAAAGGAAAATCGGACGGATGAATTGGAATAATCCTGAAAGCCGATTTAATATCGGTTTTGGCCAAAAAGCAACCAGCCCCTAAACTTTTAAGTACCGCAATGGCATCAGAAATAGAAGCGTAGTGAACCGAAGAATGTGCGGCCGGTATGTTATCGTTTACTGAGGTGCCCTGAGGGTACGATAGGTGTTGAATTAAACGGAATTCAGAGGGGTCTTTTTTGGGAACAATGCCTAAAGGAGAACAAACAAAGTTTGGAAAACGAGGGCAAATAAAAGGACCACATATATCCTCCCGGCCTCACACTCTTTACGTAGTTTGGTCCGAACGATTTGCGGTTGGTCTAAAGCGCTTTTAAGGTTGGGTGAGTGCAACGCGCAGCGTTCCCCATCAAAACCAACACGAAAACCAAAAGTAAACCCAGTAACTAAATAAAGGCGGAGAGAGGTTTCGTATCCGCTAAGAAGGAAATTAAGCCGATCCACCTTTACGGGTGTTACTGGCTTGTGCAGCGACGGTTGAAATTCCTGCTTTGACGGGGTGTGTTTTAGGTTGGCTGGAGGAACACTGTGCGGCAGGGTGTTTGGAGCCACAATTATAGCAAATGTGTTCGAAACGACACCCGTTGCACACCTTCCCCGCATGGAAACGCCAGCATGTGCCTCTTGGAAAGGACTGGGAGCGGGAGCGCAGTGCACACTGGACGAAAAAACGGATTTACTAATGTTTGCGAAAGGTGCAAATATGTGGTAAATTTGGAGCTCCAAATTTGCATTACATTTGCGCTGTTGGCTAAAGTGTAGGCAAATACATATATTTGCTAGATAGGTATTGATACGCAAAAGTGAAGTAAATGTAATGGTTTGATACAAATTTGATACATATTTGCAGCATGGGCAAATCGTCAACATTTCTACCAATTTACTCAAATTTACATCCTTGGCAAAAATGACAGTTTTCACTTTACTTCAAATGCAGGCAAAAATATTGCAAAACCCCTAATTTGCAGTGGTGTTTGCTCTTCTTTTTCCAGGATACCAAAAAAACACTTTTGCATGTGGTTTACTCGTATTTGCCTTAAGAGCAAAAACAATAAATTTCTAGACATTTGGCTGTATCATAAATTTGCACATTTGCATCATAATTATCCATATTTGCAAGGGGGGCAAATATAGTGAACTGCATAACATTTGCTGACAGTCAAAGGTGATGTGCATCTGACATTTCCTATATGTTTGATTCGTTTTGTGACTAAAGTAAATTTCCAATCTCAACTGTAACATTACATTGTTACAATAAAATTTTGTACACGCTGTGAGACTCTGCCCAGAGGTCCAACCCCTTACATGCATCTTTGCTGTTAACTGTTTTATGTGCACTGTCATTTTAATATAAAGGAATCAGAAACCAGTTAATTTTTTTGACAATTTTACAGTCACAAATTTCTTCTGTTAGTCTTTTTACAGAACGAAATGACAGATAGTCTACCCTGTCATATACTTTAACTCAGGAAACCCCTATCCTTTCATACCTGAAGCATGAAAAAGGTGTCCCTTTCTGACAGCGCCCCTGGCATAAACCTTTCCCGGGCGTCAAATCTACTCGTTATTAAGGTCCAGTAGACAGATCATTGATGCACTGTATTTCCTACAGTCAGGGCCATAGCCAGTATGAGGCAAACCGAGGCACTTGCCTCAGTCATTTCAGGTTTGATCCTGGCAGTGTTTTGTTTCAACGTAGTCATCATAAAGACCCTGAATGGCTAGGCGGGGAATTCAACCATGGATATTGCCTCAGTCCTTATTTTTTTCTGGCTACTGCCCTGTCTATCGTCATAAAAATTCCTCTATTAACTTATGGGGCAGTGTACATCTTAACAAGTGGTATTCCCTTATGCACAACTATTACCACAGGGGTCCTTAAACTAAAGATAACACCTATAAATGACAACTATGTAGCGGTTGGATGGCTGTAAATTCACCTTCATTAATATTACATGATGCTCACTTCCAAGCTGAATTAGGGAACCAAATTACTTCATTGTACATTGGTGTAAAATATTGTGTTTTTCAAGGGTTGTCATACATATACTGCAGGGTTCTTTCTATATTTCCGACAATATTTATACTGATTCTAGAGGCATATATCATACGGGACTTATTTGTTGTAGTTTTGACTGCCAAACCTAGAGATGACCACTTCTTGATGGTGAGCTTCCTAAAAATGACCACATTTTGAAAAACCAACAGTCAATATTACAACAAAATATGGTGATACTGCTCACAATTTTCTTTGAACATTAACTCAGCTGACAAATTTATGAAAGGCTAATTTTTCTTACTCTGTTGTTTGCAACGCTGAGTTTGAGTTTCACTGATTTTAATGCTGATTTTGAGTTTCACTGTTCATTAAGTACTACCTATTCAATCCAAAAAAGTCATAGCATTTTTGCTGGCTAAAATTCACCTGAAGCCTGGTTATTGGATCTTGGGATACAAGGAGGATCTACAGGAACTACCGGTTGAATGGTCAAATCCTACCCGACAACCCCCCCCCCGCCCCATAAACAATGAACAGACCTTTATTGGGTTACAGGATCACAGGAGCTCTGAGTTGGCCTTGTCTCATGAAAAGTCTAGAGCTATAAAGAAAAAACTAAGGTGGTGAAACAAATTAACATGCAGGATTTATCCTTATGGACTGGGTTGCTCAAAGATGGGTTAAGATAACACAAGGTTAGGTCCAGTAGTCAGATCATTTACTGTATTTTTTGTACATCATACTAAACAATCAAATTTGGTCCAAAATAAAAAGTTTTGTGGATTTCAAACTCAGGGTTGTGATTATTCACTTGTACATAATTTCCTCAGGGCCATTTAACCAACAAACTTAATTCAAATTAAAACCAACAATTTTAGTTTAACCGGTATTTGTTGTAGTTTTGACTGCCCACCTAGAGATGACCACATCTCGATGGTAGGCTTCCTAAAAATGACCACATTTTGAAAACCCAACAGCCAATACTACAACAAAATATGGTGAAACTGCTCACAATTTTCTTTGAACATTAACTCAGCTGACAAATTTATGAAAGGCTAATTTTTCTTACTTTGTTGTTTGCAACCCTGAGTTTGAGTTTCACTGTTCATTAAGTACTACCTATTCAATCCAAAAAAGTCATTGCATTTTTGCTGGCTAAAATTCACCTGAATCCTGGTTATTTGATCTTGGGATACAAGGAGCGAGGTTGTGGCTTCCCCAAAAAAATTCGGATGAAGAGAGGGTCTTCATATGCAGGAGCTACCACTCAAATCCCACCCAACAAAGCCCCCCCCCCCCTTAAAAAATGAACAGACCCCTACTGGGTTACAGGAGCTCTGAGTTGGCCTTGGATCATGAAAAGTTTAAAGCTATAAAGAAAAAACTAAGGCGGTGAAACAAATTAACATGCAGCATTTATCCTACCAGGCTGGGTTGTTCAAAGCTGGGTTAAGATAACCCAAGGTTAGTACGAAATATGAATTCAGATATGAAAGTTTTAAAAACAAATTCATTTGAATTCCTTTTGTCTACAATTTGGTGATTTGATACTTAAAAAAAAAAAGAGAAAATTATCTGACAAAATGCTTTTGATTAAAAGGAAAAAGAAACGTGGGTTAAAATCTAACCCTGGGTTAGTGCTAATCGGTCTTTGGAAAAACTGGGCCCCGGTCTTTTTTGGGTCCAATTCTAAATCACATAACCACTTCGAAGTGAGTCAATGGTACATAACCTGGGCATGTGTTACATTCCTCTTCTGTCATTTGATAATAGTAAAGCCTAGGGTCGCACAATGGGCAGGGATCTCCAATTACTAAAACTAAAAATTCAAAATGACACAGTAACTGTTGTATACAGTTACAGAGGGCCCACACTACCTTCCCTTTACATAAAGTAAATACACTAGAACAAACCTACTGGACAAAGGTCCAGTAGTCAGATCATTTACTGTATTTTTTCTACATCATAATATTATTATTAAAAAGCTAACAATAACAAGGCCACCCACAGTACCTTAAGTTTGGTCCAAAAAAAAAAGTTCTGTGCATTTCAAAGTCAGGGTTGAGATTATTCACTTGTACACAATTTCCTCATGACCATTTATTCAAGAAACTTCACATCAAAACTGACAATTTTGTCCTTACCACTATTTGTTCTAGTTTTCACTGACTATACCTAGAGATGACCACATCTTGATGGTAAGCCTCCTAAAAATGACCACATTTTGAAAGCCCAACAGCCAATACTACAACAAATGGTGAAATTGCTTTGTATTTCATATAATTTGTGAATAGAAACTCAGCACAGACATGAATGAATAATTTCTTTGCTGCTCTTTACAACCCTGATTTTGAGTTCAGTATGATTTGTCTTTTTAAACTGCTCAAACAGACTGGTGAGATTTATATCAGCCTTCACTCAACAACAATAACATGGTGCATTTCTTCACTTAAACCTAAACTTCTTAGACCAACGGGGTTTACACCTTCAATATTATTATACCCTTTCACTAAATGAGTCGAATTTTAATAGATTTATTTAGAATAGGAATTCACACAGTAAGATAACTTTTTGATTTTCCTTTTTAAATAGGAATATGATATTTTATAATTGCTGGACAAAAAAAAGGTTCCGGCTAATAATTTGTTTTGAGCAGTGACAGAAGACATGAAATAGTAAATCTCAACTTTGGATCTGTCTGAAGGCATTTTCTTTGCCCTTCCACAAAATGACTTTCTACTCTCACTTTGCCACTAACTTTTGCAATGACTTATTAACGCCAAGTGAAAACATAATATCTGAGGCATATTTCTGAAGCTATATGTCAGTGCTAGTGAGCAGTCATGGACTGCTGTTTTGAAGGGGCATCCGATAGAAGGATAGCCTTTCCAAAATCAATGAGCGTTGGGTGGTACATATTGTTTACCTCTGTAAGAATAATGTTGTCACTCTTTATATCTCTGTGGGGAAACCTCTATGAGTGCAAATGTTCTATAGCTTCACACAATTTCAGTACATTATGTTCCCCGCAGAACACTGTGAAAGGGACAAGGATTTACTTAGCAGGGCACGGCACAAAGTACAAGAAAAATAATATTGTAAAGATGGTAAAAATATAACCCAAGGAAGTACATGTGAGGTTTCTTTTTTGTGACACTTACCCCAAACAGATGGGGTATTGATGGATGGGAGCATTCAGTATATAAGCTTCACTTCTGTTATCTTGGTAAGGAAAAAATGATTACTGTAAATAAATTGAGACCCACTGGAATACCACTGTAGCATTTCTTCATGCACAGACCACAAACAGCTTCCCCATGTTGAACCTGTATATATTTCATTGACCTCTTTATCTTTTGGAGAGTTCAGGTGATGCAACTCAATTTCAAGAACATTGGAAATAACTCCTGTACCACTCAAGGAAAAATCTGAAACAAATGTACAAAAAAGTCTCTAAGCCCACTAAAAATAAGTGGTAATTGTACCTTCATTGATAATATTGTGAAATTAAATGAATTGTGTTACTTGTGTTGCCGTTATCTTTGTGAACATTATCAGAAACTCATAAGGGGTTGAACAACCCCTCATGGGTTTCTGACATTATAAATACACATGTGGCACATTTTAGCATTTTTGACCTTTGGACTCAGCTTACATGTACAGCTGTATCATTATAAACTATTATAAACAAAACAACCTTGTATATGAAAACATGACAAAACAAAACAGAAAAAAATGACAGTAACGCATATAAAATAAAGGCTCCACCCTACCCCTGTCAAAATCAATGGTACATGTACATGTATTACGCTCAATATGTCAATATAGCGCCAGAGGTACAAGCAATTAATCTTGAGCTACTTCTGCCAAATACCAATAAATTAGCATTTTAACATTGCATAACTACATATTTTGCTGACTTAACACGACTTAAATTTTTCAACAAGGCGTTTTTCAGCTGGATCACTACCATAAGCACGCGACACGCGTGCACATACATGCTACAAATGTAAATATGGATGCAAATGTAGTTTATTCCCGGTTATAACATAGATGTGGCAGTAGAAGCACGATACACAAATACATCGACTTTACCTTTTAAATTTCGAATATCCTTGAGAAGAAATCCAGCAACATAGGCAATCTCTTCCTCCCGCCAAATCGCCAAAAGACCGCGCGCCCGATTTCCCAAGCATCTGCGCCTCAGTGGTGCTGGTCAGCGACAGTCTGCATAACCGTTCGAGAACGAGGCACAACAATTGAAATTCGTCGACCGTTACCACGTTCCCCTGCCATCGATTTGCCATCAGCTTTTACTTCGTACGTTTAACGCCATATTTATCAAGAGATTTCGAATTTTCCTTCTTTGTGGGGTTGACTATCGAGTATGGAGGAATCGGCCAGTCTTATTTGTTCGAATTTATCGAACGAATGTGTCCTCGAAGAACTTATAAAAATAATCGCTCGAACTCGAGGGAACTGCATACTTATAGATCCTTCAACGAAAATCCACCATGAAAGGATCAAGATCAAGATAGCTCCATCGGCGACGATCAAGTAGTAACGAGTGGATCCAAGAAAAGCAGCCGTTAGTACTTAGTAAATACACTTCGGTGAATCGTTGCTGTTTTAATTAGCAGACATTGTAAAACTAAGAAGAGGCAGGAGAAGTGCAAGGACAAACAAATGCCGAGGGAGCAACTAATCGGGAGTAAAAGAAATGCTCAGTAAGTATAAGAAAGTTCATTGTTACTGTTAAGCCATTAATGATGCTATTTGATAATACCTACATTTGCATTCCAATATTCAGTAATCAACAAGGACTCACCCCTACTCCTGAAACTTTATTTGTCCTGTTGTTGTAAAAAAATACTGTAATCTTTTTTGTTTGGTTGTTCTCTTCAGATAAATGGTCTTGGAAAATTTAATAAGAATTGAAGCAAGTGTTAATTCCCTCTATTAGGCCAAAATTAACCTTATCCTCTAGTGCCTACTTTCTCCAAAGGCCTTTCCAAAATTTAAAAGGGGAGTAAAGGCAGTGACTGCCATGGTGCTGAAAACATAGTGTAGCTAGAATTTAGATCATGGTACCCTGCTTTCACTGATTGTTTTTTATGATCACCCCATGTAAGGGATTCTGGAATCCAGGACATTGAATCCAGAATTCGTGCAATTTTTGTTGCGGAATCCTAAATTCTGAGCTTTGAAACCTGAAATACAGGTCAAACGATTGGAATCCAGAAACCAAGTAATCCACCGAAAAAGGTTCCGGAATCCGCAGCGTGGAATCCAGAATCTAAAACTGTCTTGGATTCCCTCATATGAGGCAATTATAGTATAATTAAACTTTTGTTCCCAAGATACACTGTAAGACAGTGATGGCAATATTGCAGAAGAAGCAGGTCCATGAAGTTTTAAGTAATATGGCAATAATGTTGTTATGGTAGTGATGTAGTGGGACACTCACTATAAAATTAATACAATGATTTACCTGGAGTCAATTGTCTTGTTACAAAAGGGTTTCTCGCATTCATTTTTTCATTTTGTTTTTACTCAAAGAAGGTCTTAGTTTTAACAGGTGCAGTGTAATCAGGATTATGATGACCGCTTGAGGTTAGATTTGAGACATGAAAGTTACGAGCCAGCGATTTGTTTAAACTAGTTAATTTTGATATCAGTTAACTCAGGAAATAAGTAAGTTTAGTCACCTAGTGTGACTGCAGCCAGTAATAATACATGTAATATCTAATAGCAACTTTTTTTGCTATAAAAGGCTAGAATATTTAGACAGAAAAGGACAATAGTATTTTTCATGACAACCGTCTACAGCTTTAGTTTCAATATTAATGGTCTCAATTATGTATAATTTCTGTTTGTTGCAGAAAAGCTAAAGAGACAACCCTTTTCCAGTCAACCTCTATTTCGAAGAAGAATTGTTGTAAGTTCAAAGCTTGTATAAATGTGGAGTACATGTCTTCAGAGCAAGACAATTCAGACCAAGGAGATGACAAATCCGAGAAAAGTGCTTTGCAGGAGGCCTCTAGCATGGAGGAGCCAACAACTTAGCCTGTAAAAACCTCTTTGCCAGGCTGAACAGTAAAGCAAAATTAAAACAGTCACATGTAAGCTTGTTATTACTCAATGACAATAGAAAGGAGGAATGGCTTCTCCTCAGAGCAGGAGGCACCAGATAATGCTCCTGAATTTGCTTTGTGATAAAGAAATATAAGTTAATCCAAGGCTCTTAAAGAAATTCCAGATTATTTATGACTGGTCATACTTACAGGTACATGTACATGTAGCTCTGCAAATGCAGTAATCCTTTAATCACTCTCTGTTTATGACACTGTTTTTTAGAAAAAGATAAATCTGTGTAAAGAGTACAAATCCTGATGGTGTTGATTTGTCCTGAGAATTCTGGTGGCACTCGCAGGTAGATCAAATTGGTTGATGTGATAAATTTTTCATTAGAATCCTTTGGCTATTGTTTACAAGTAATGTACCAGTCAGCAGGTTAAAAAGGCCAATTAATGTACAAATGTTTCTTTTAAATCTGTTTGCTTAACTGCAGGCATTTGAGTTCTGCTGGCACCACTTCACAGTACATGTGTACCAATTACAGCAATTACAAATTACAGCAAAACAAAACAAATTTAGGTACACCCTGCTTTTTGTCATGATTTATGACGGAATTTTGCAAAGTATTGCAACATGACTCAAGAAAAAGAGTAATGAGAGACAGCAGTGTAGTTATTTTGCAGGCTAGCCAGATCAACCTTTTGTACTACATGTACATGTATACTGGGTTAAAACAATTATTAGCTTCCTTCATTGGGACCAACTACAGTGACAGTGGTAATGTTGACATGCTGTGGAATACTTATAGCTGGTCATTACTTTAATGACCCTCAATTTTCTTAGAACGGGGCAAGTACTAGAAGCTCCGGCTGGTACTTCCTCTAAGAGCATATCCAATACTATACAGGAACCATTTGCAACAAAAATGAAGTTAAAGAAGTCTGATCTGAATTTGAATAGCTACATGTACCTAAACTATTTCTTAGTTTGCTAAATGCTATAACCCAGTTGTTATACCAGCAAAAATTGTAAATTGGTAGCAAGAATTAGGCCTTTCATTCTAATAGAGCCTAAAGAAAAAAATGCCACCAGAATCAAATTTTGTTAATCTGTAAATAGCAATAAATACAAAAATACTACTTTTTTAAATTATTTATTAAAATGGGTGTCTTGAGGGTTCCATTTAGTTGGAACAGGATTTTGTCCTTAGATACAAAAGTTTAAGTAACAAATGGTCTTGTCATAAGTAAATATTGGTCCAAGGGTAAAAGGATTTTTAACCTGTTTCTGAGTTGCAAAAACCTAAACAACTGAAATAGGTTTGAGGCAACTCTGAAACACCTACAGCTGTATGTAGAATATCTTACACATTTGGATGAAGAACACTTTTCTTATAATATTAATAGTTAGTAATGATCTGATAGAGCATAGAGTGGAGACAAGTAAACATCAACGAACTGTAACATTGGGAATTAATATGAAGAGCTGTATGTACAGCTTTATACTGTAGTTTGTAATGTCTGTAATAATGTGTAAGCCACTTTGGTTTATGGAATAAATCATTTGAACATTAATGGGAGGTCACTGCGAGAATTTCTTTCACTAACTTTAATGTTTGATTAATTATGGCCACTTGTTAAGAACCTGAAGTGAACCATGTTATAATTAAAAATATTTTTAAAATTTTATCGCATTTGCTACAACCCAAGCAAACTCGTTTAAACCTTGGAATTTACATTTGCTAGTGGAGAAAACATGCTCAATTTTATGGGTTTGATGACATTTGCTAACCAAATTAAAGTCAGAATTTGATTACATTTGCTACCTGAGCGAAAAGTTGTACAATAGTAACAGTTTGATCAGATTTGCTGCCCAAGCAACTTTGTTCAAAGCTTGACTTTTAACCACATTTGCAGCTACAAGCAAAATTTTGTGTTTGATCAAATTTGCACACCCTAGAAAATTTGTTCGAAGTTTAGGTTTGCTAACATTTGCTTCGTGAGCAAACATGTTTAATACAAAGAGTTTGATTACATTTGCTATGCAAAGCAATCTGGTTCAATTATGAAAATTTGATCACCCATGATAACCCATGCAAACATTGTTCAAATTAGATACTTCGCTCACATTTGCAAAGCTGCGTAAAAGTTCTGAAAATAACAGGTTTACATGCTTTTACATCTAAAGCAAAAGCTGTGCAAAACAGCAGATTTGCGCAATCATTTGCGTAATGTGCAAATATAGTTCAAAGAAACATATTTGCCTACACATTTGAACCATCTGCAAATGACCCTCAAATCCATGGCTGCCCATTATCTTTGCACCAAGATGTAAATGTTGTGCAAATGTGGCATTTACCGTCATTGCTACGGATAGCAAGTCTAGTGCAATATCAGTCTTTGCTCTTGCGCAAAATTGTGCAAATGTGGTATTTGCTACACATTTGCTGTAATTTGGCTACCCTAGTAAATCCATTTTTTCGTCCAGTGGTGGTCCCTTGTCCGAGGAAAATTGGGTTTTCGGACGAAAATTTGTCACAGCCTTTAGCCAAAGTTCCCAGTGAATAGCGTCCCATGGGTATTGTGCAGGGGCTGATTTCCTTATGAAACGAAATTGTTCGTCATAATACAACCAGTCACCTGGTTTTGCGGCGATATCGCGGACAATTTCACAATATTTCATCAGCCTGGGTGTGTCCGTGGGTAGTTTTTCCGAATAGATCGCAACAAAAATATTAAATGCACAGAGCCACTGGTTGATAGTTTGGATCTTTTTAACTGGTTGGCTAGGTTCTAAAGTGAAGTGAGGGCGGGTGGTCTCACCATCCGAAGAGGCGAGAGACAGAGAATATTTTTGATTATTGGGAGAAAACGAGAGGAGAGTTCCGAAATCAAGATATTCGTTGGACCAGATTTTGGCCTTGACTTTGGAACTCACCCGACTGCTAAGAGAAACAGCCACGCTAGAAAAAAATTGTTTCGGAGCCGGCGAGTCTAACCCAGGCTCATCTATGGTGACAATGTTTTCGCTACTTGATGGAGTACCTTGGGTGATCTCGGCCAAGGATGTGTTCACGATATTGGCCACTGACTGGTCCGTGGAGGACTGTGTCTCCTGGCTGGGTGCGGCTGGCCATTGCGTTTTCATTGCCTCCGCGACAGCTAGCTGTACTGCGCTAGAAATGGAGGCGGAGAGGGCCTGCATATTGACGGCCATCAGAGGCTGCTCTGTTGAAGTTACAGCTTGTTGATCACTCGGTCCAGGGCGGGATGCGATCGGGTCTGTTACACGTGCCCTCTTTGCAGAACTTCGCGTGCGTGTTTGAGACGTTCGCTTCGGCTTAGGAGGCATAACTTAGATATATAAAAGTAATTGGATTAAGATAAGGCTAAATGCCATATGTTTCCGCTAAGATGAGATAAGATACCAAAACAGTATGAGTCAAAGAGGAGCAAATTATTAAAGGTCTGAGCCGGGATGTTTATTGTTCCTTTGAGTTTTGTTTTTTGTTTGTTTGTTTGTTTGATTTTTGTTTAACAAACAGTAATGTGGCTAAGCTACGCACACATAATGGAGACGAATAACCGAACTCTGCTGAAAACCAAATGGCGAGCCATGTAGCGAGAATTGAGTGACATAAATGCCTGGTAAAAGAATATCAAAGTGCATTGAGGACACACCCAAATAAGGGCGGTCGAATAGGATTGCACACTCATAATATTCACCAGGACACAAAGTATGAATAAGGCCAACGCCTGCAAATACAATCTGTTATGCACGAAAGGCAAACAACAGTTCTGTAGAACTGTAAGAACAATAAGTGCAGCCAAAATAGAATGCGCCCAATTAAATAAAGGCGGCAAGTCTTCAACATAAACGGCTGTCACTAAACAAAGGCATGGCGAGGCAAGTACGTAAACTTTAAAAGGCTCGACTGGGGAATGGAATGAAACGTTTAAACCTCAACAAGACGAAATTATGCTGAACAGGCTCAAGGACCTTAGGATTGCTCCCCTAAGACTACGATGGTATTTTACCTGACCCGGGGAATTGAGATGCACACCATCACGTGCGTAAATGTTCTGAGTCGGGCGCCAAAACCCCCTATGGCCCCAAAAGATAGTATAAGGTATAGGCTCTAAAACTACCCGAAGGTATTTCGTTAACAGCTTGGCCTTACGATTAAAGACCACTGCGCCCTGGCTCATGATGGTCTGGCACACGCAGACAACCTTAACATCATAGGTGTCATGCAAGAGCCTTACAAAATCTTCAAGAGCTGAGCCAACATGTAAAGGGTCAGAGTCTGTTAAATCATTGGAACCCAACTGCAAGATAACTATCTCCGGTCGAAAGGACTCGATAACATTCAAGTCAAGATGTAGCGTTTTGGAAACCGTACGGCCACGGACTTCGTGCCATTTTATAAAGGCACGGTGAGATAACTTGAAATCAACGCTAAAATGGTAAGAATCACGGGATAGGAAAAGGCGCAAACGGCGAATAAAAGAATCGCCCAGAACTAAAACACGGGGCTCAGCCATTGAATAACAGGAAAAATAAAAGGAAAAGAGGGTACTTGCCTGAAAAATGCTGAAAATTGGTTCAAACCAGCGATGTGAATAACGTGATGGTGAGCGATCGAAAGGGGGCGAGCACATGGAAAAGCGCCCCTAAGAATGATAAGTCCGGAACGCCCTAAATTCTGATTGGCTGGAAATAAGATAGGCTTGGAACCTGCCGCCTTGGTCTGCAAACTATTATCAAATGCCTTGTCATAAAATCCCATTATGATGTCGTCATAACGGTGTCTTTTATAAGCGTAGAACGACAATAATTTTTGACATTTCGGGTTAGTTCAAATCAGCCACGTCGTCATAATGTCACGATATATTTTGGGGGGCAGAGGGGGTTGAGGGAAGGGGGTGCGCTATGAATTAAAGTGCCCTGTTAATGTAAATTGTCTCTTGTTTTAAAATACTAATCTGCCTATTTTTATCCATAATGGTACAGTCAAAGCCCGTTAATACGAATAGAAAGTGTCCGTATGAACGTGATGTCCGGTCCGTATTAATTAAGCAGGTTGAATTTAGAGAAGATGTAAGGGCTAGGGACAAAGAAAACTTTCCCTTAATAACAAGGTGTCCGTATTAAGCGGGGTTCGACTGTAGAAGTTACTACAGATGAAGATGAATTACTCGATAAAACACACTTTAGAAATTAAATTTTCTGCCCCTCCCCCCCCCCCTCCCACTGTGTGATATCACGTCTTAACTCCGTTTTTAGACCCTTCCGCGAGTGAATTTAAGATTTGATAAAAATCGGTTTAACAAATTCAGTCAACACCGCTGAAAAGAGAGTCTTAAAATTGGTAAACTTGCCAAGTTTCAGAAAAAGTATTACCTTACAAGAGAGCGAAAATATAGCACCGCAGAGTTGCGAAAATTCATAGACGTTTGTATGGTGGTGGTACTTTAACATTTGCAATGATGGAAAATGAAGGCATCACCTCATCATACATCACCACTTGCGTTTTGAACGCTTTCTTATCTTACACCGCTGTTATGCTAAACTGTTTAACGATCTACGCCTTAACAAAACTCTCATCATTACTAAGACCTTTAAAAACGCTGCTTCTAAGCCTGGCTGTTTCTGATCTGGGTGTTGGATTAATGGTTCAGCCTTCGTACATTGCGTCTCTTGTCATGGAAATGGAGCACAAAACTGAAAACAATCCAGCCTATAACATAACCTACAAACTCTATGTTTTCACGGTGAATTTGTTTGGTTTTGCGTCTTTCTTCGGAGTATTATTTTTAAGTTTCGATAGATTCCTGGCCGTTTACCTACATCTAAGATACCAGGAACTTGTGACCCACAAGCGTGTTGTTGTTGTAACGGTTTCAAAGTGGCTCTTCAGTGCCGTTTTGTCGTTTATGAGACTGTGCATCCCGACACGAGTTTCCTTTATAGCTGTTATTTATCTCTCTTTTCTCTTAACAACAACACCGATTAATTACAAGATTTATGTATCAGTACGTCATCACGCGAACCAAATGCAAGCCTTGCAAGTTCAACCAACGGCCACTCAGAACGGCGAAGCTGGGACAAGTAACACTGCAGGCTGGAGAAAATTTGCAATCGGAACGTTATTGGTATATCTTGCGTTTTTGGTTTGTTATTTGCCAAATTTCTGCTTTTTAATTGTCTATCTTATCTTTGGTCCATCGAGCGCCATTACCGTTGTTTTGGATCTGTTCAGTTCGACTCTGTTATTTCTTAATTCAACGTTAAATCCTCTGATTTACTGTTGGAAATTGAGAAGAATTCGATTTACCATCTTGACGATATTAAGGATTAGCGATATTACCGATTAGCGTAGACAAAAATTAACCTGAAATTCTAAAATTTCATCTTTCTCACTCTCTGTTTTCCGTTTTGTATTGAGTTAACGGTGTATAAAGAGGGCGCCCATTAAGTCTGAAAAACTCAGACATCGATAAAACTTAAGCGAGTTTTTAGAGCCCTGCAGATTGGAAGGCAACTTTTGTATTGAAAGGCCACTAAGAGCTGGCAGTCTTACGATAAATGCCCACTGAGACATTCATACAAATTAATATTCAGATTAATATACCCACGTAAATTTATTCACGGGCAGTATTTTTGCGATAATTTTATTTTGCACTGTGATGTTATTCGGTTCACAGGCATGGTCATCATTGTGGTTCGTCCCCTCTGGGTGAGGTGCGAATTCCTCGCAGAACTGCCGCTCGTGCTCATTTTGTAGTCATAAACAAAGGTGCTGATATGAGGTAGCGTCCAATCTCAATACTTTTTTCCTGAGTTGAAAGCAACGAACAGCAGTAAGAGTCGTTGAAAATGCATTGCAGTACATCAAAACGTATGCAGCAGGAGTTTGAGCCAAAACTGCAAAGGGATATTTTAAAAATGTCGAAGAACAAGTCATTCTACTTCAGAGCAAGGTTTGGAGCAATTTATGGTGTTTCTAAAACTAAAAAGTACCTTTTAAAGAATAGCACGATAGGCAATCGGCTTTTGTTTTAAGAATTAACAAAACGTTGAATTTACTTGTCCCGAAAATTCAAACTGGTGGCTCTTTCTTCCTGATAGTAACTTATTTTTGAAATTCCAAAACAATTTCACAGCTGAATTTTGAGCGACTTTTAGTTACGGACTTCTGCTCCAACGATTTTTCTGAAATTCCTCTCATATTTATTATATCAATTAAAGCCGATACCAGAAATTTCAGTAAAAAATATCAGCAAATTTTTTTACTAGACGCGATTTTCTTCGAACATTAGGGTCTTTTTAAGCGCTAATTTCTCAAGAAATATTTACCATCAATGAAATCGGAATATTTCGTATTATTGCCGAATGATATATGTTGTTCTTTGCAAAGTTTCGCAGCCATCGCGTTAAGAACCAAAAAGTTATAAAATTTGTCACAGCAAAATGCTCTGGTATTAATTACGCAGCCACCTTAATTCGCGTTTGTTCTTGTGCTCCTGTTTGTACCATATCGCCTTTTTTAATGAAAATATTGGCGCAATTGTAACATGGTCGTGCTTCAAAATTCGGATAACCAACTTTTATACGCAGACATTGTTCGATGTTTGAAACAAAATGTTCGATCTAAGTTTCAACCGCCTTTCGTCGCGCCGCATGTCCGAATTCGAACGGGTTATCATTACAAATCGCAATTACCGGAAGACCATTGGCGAGAAAAGTACAATCGCAACGTATAAAACAGAGTGTTCGAGGATTTTATACGATTTTATACGCCGGCTCATGTTCCGTGTGCTTCAGTTGGAGATGTTTGTTTCTATGTAAAAGACATCGTAGTGAAAACAGTTGGCGTTGAACAGAGCCCGGAGAAGGTAGGTTAAGGTAATCTCGCACCCACACAATACCCGAGCCAGCTACGCAGGCTATGGATATCCGTGTCAGAACATGCGCATGCACTGCATGATATCCCTCTTCGTCATGTCTTCATATTAGCATCTCGTACAGCTTTTTTTTTTATAGAGGAATTACAAAATTCCTTCTTTTGAAAAATATTTCCGGTAACCCTGAATAGTTATCCTGAGTTATCTCACCCGGTAAAATTCACCTTGACAACGCAAGGAAGGTTGCTACTTGTTTCAGCTCATCAAACCATTATTTGTAAAGATTACGATATTATCAAAAGATATTATTATTCATCATTCTTATGATTTTATGGTATCATTTTGCATGGTTCAAATGATAATAAGCATGGCTAGCCCTTCATTCAGTCTAAACAATAAGAATGCACCACAACGTGCAAAAAAAAAAAGACAAACTTATTTGTATTGTTATTGTTTCAGTGCAAAAATTCTAGTCTTGCTGCTGATCTTTGTGAACAAGAGATAAAGAAGGACGAAGATCGTGTGGAAACAAGTCAGAAGGCAGGGCGAGAAATCCACATTCTGTTATAAGTAATGGAAAATTATTGTTTTCACGTCGCAACAGGACGGCGGGAAGAAGAGGACGGCAAAACCCTTGGGTGTGACAAGTGACAGGGCTGTTACTTCTCTGTTTTGATCTGACGTAATCTTCGCTTGACATTATTCTTTTTTTCCAGTCTTTTACACAAAAAAAGATCTATTTAAAAGAAGGTGAAGTTTGGCGGAAGGTTTTTTCAAACAAAATTATTGTCACGCTTGTCACACATTAAGGTTTGCCGTCTTCTTCCCTCTTCCGTCCTGTTGCGTACGTCAGTTCACTCAGCGTACGCCTTCGGTAAGGTTTTTTCAAACAAAATTATTGTCACGCTTGTCACACATTAAGGTTTGCCGTCTTCTTCCCTCTTCCGTCCTGTTGCGTACGTCAGTTCACTCAGCGTACGCCTTCGGTAAGGTGAAAATACAATTCTTCTACGGTTTAAATGATGCTTTTTGCCGTTTTTTTTTTGTATTAAACTCAATAATAGATTATAAATGATGATGATATTATCCACTTCGAAAATGTAGAAGGGGCCATTTAGGAATACGAGGTTTTATTCATTTTAATATGTTGTTGTTGGCTAGTTCTAGGCTATGCAGACTAGGTCTTGATTCTGACAAGCTTAAAGCAATTTACACTCTGCCATTTCACTTAACCAAGGATACTAAATTGTGTATGTTCCGGTACAAAGTAATCCACAATATTTTACTGTATGGCAGCAAATTATATAAGATGAAGATTTCAAACTCCCCGCTCTGCGTTCATTGTAACTCTTTAGAAACACTTCCCCATATGCTAGTGAATTGTACCGAAATTAACAGTTTCTGGGCAAAAATAATCTCCTGTTGGAATCATCAAAGCGGAGACTGTTACCTTGTAGATGAATTAAGCATACTTTATGGTTACAATCCAGAAGACAAAAGAAATCTAATTTTCAATTATTTTTTTTTACTGGTAAAAGAGACACATTTTTACTCAGAGATTCGAACAGAAGACCCCTAACATCGACCTGTTTTTTGATTTTGTTAAAGGCAAGCTAATAGACCTATTCGGCTAACTCAATGTTGTACCCAATTCTAATCTTCCGGGGTTAAGATTCTTTGTGTGCTGAATTTGCATTATAATGTGGCATTCACATTTAAATGATATGGAAATTCCTGAAACAAAACGTTTTTGCCAACGAGGCAACTGAGCAAATTCTGTGTAACCCTCTAAAATTTGCATTTTTGACCATATTTGGGTGTAAGTAAGACCCCATACTTGGGCAGTGACGTCATGGTCTTGTATTTATAACTCGTGGTTTGAGATTGCGTGGTCCAGTGTGCAGCTGTTCGTTGTCCATCAGATAAGGTCGGTGACCTAACAGGTGAGCAAGTTTTAATACGATTCCTAGTTTGAAAAGGCTATTAGTGGTTTGGTTTGCTTTATAAATTGCGTTTGAAGCAGCAGCTGATCAAGGAATAGGGTTTTACGCTCAAATTTTTGTCAGAGCCAGCTTGTTCTTCGCAGGCTCACATTCGAGCCAGCGTGTTTGCTTTATACATTCTATATTCAGAACCAGGGTTTGCATTGTACGATGGCCCAGGAGGGTCACAGTCCAGTATTGGTTTTTGACAGTCCAGTTATGGTTTACACAGTCCAGTTATGGTTTTACACAGTCTAGTTTTAGTTTTTACACAGTCCAGTTTTAATTTTTACACAGTCCAGTTTTGTTTTTTTACACAGTCCAGTTTTATTTTTACACAGTCCAGTTTTAATTTTTACACGGTCCAGTTTTATTTTTATTACACAGTCCAGTTTTATTTTTTTCACACAGTCCAGTTTTATTTTTTGTGTGGTTACCAGACCTCTCTCGCGCTACTGCAACACTTGTTATCTAACGGCAGCCATTTTGTATTTCCTTGCGACGATGGATTCAATCATCAGGCAGGCTGTTCGAGAGGAACTGAGACGTTCAAGTTCTAGTCGTCCAGAAACTGCGTCTTCTACTAATCAAGATGATCAGGGAAGAAGAGAAAACGAATCAGGTGCGGCTGGATCATCACGAAGTTCGTTTTCATTACGAACAGTGGGCCGATGTTTCTAAAACGAAGACCCAAAAACCTCCTGGACCTAAGACCTAAGACCTCCTGGACTAAAACTCTAAACACTTTGGATGTGTTTACGGTCTTCGTTTTAGAAACACCCCAAACGGCCCACTGTTCGTGATGAAAACGAACTTCGTGATGATCCAGCCGCACCTGATTCGTTTTCACTTCTTCCCTGATCATCTTGATTAGTAGAAGACGCAGTTTCTGGACGACTAGAACTTGAACGTCTCAGTTCCTCTCGAACAGCCTGCCTGATGATTGAATCCATCGTCGCAAGGAAATACAAAATGGCTGCCGTTAGATAACAAGTGTTGCAGTAGCGCGAGAGAGGTCTGGTAACCACACAAAAAATAAAACTGGACTGTGTGAAAAAAATAAAACTGGACTGTGTAAAAATTAAAACTGGACTGTGTAAAAATAAAACTGGACTGTGTGAAAAAATAAAACTGGACTGTGTAAAAATTAAAACTGGACTGTGTAAAAATAAAACTGGACTGTGTGAAAAAATAAAACTGGACTGTGTAAAAATTAAAACTGGACTGTGTAAAAATAAAACTGGACTGTGTAATAAAAATAAAACTGGACCGTGTAAAAATTAAAACTGGACTGTGTAAAAATAAAACTGGACTGTGTAAAAAAACAAAACTGGACTGTGTAAAAATTAAAACTGGACTGTGTAAAAACTAAAACTAGACTGTGTAAAACCATAACTGGACTGTGTAAACCATAACTGGACTGTCAAAAACCAATACTGGACTGTGACCCTCCTGGGCCATCGTAGCATTGCTCTCTTTTCCTTTGTAAATTGAATTTTAAGCGGTAGCTGATCAAGGGATAGGATTATACGCTCAAATTTTTATTAGAACCAGCGTGTTCTTCGTAGCTCGATTCGCATTGAGCCAGCGTGTTCGCACCTGTGTGTTTGCCTGTCAATTTCGAACGAGGTGTTCTTTCGTCGACTGAGACGTTCTGAAGACTTACGAGAAAAGAAGCGAAGTGATTTATTTTTACATCTTTTAGCAGAAAAAAATCCTTAAACGCCAGCGTTGCGTATTAAATCAAGACAAACACGTGGTTTCCATTGCTTGATCACTGCGAGCGTTCAGTCGCATACCAACTTTGTCATGTTTCATGTTTACTGGTTCATGCTGATTGTATCACTCATTATTTGTGGAAGCAGTTGCTCCATAATTAAACCTCTGCGTTCTTGTTTAAGTGACGATTTACAATTACACAAAATTAGATGTTGTGGCACGTGCTTATATACGGTCACCTATTACAAACGGAAATATTTGTCTAGAAGAATTCCGTATGCTTCAAATGGTAGTTTTAATCCTTACATAATAACGAACAAGGAAGCACATTTGGTCAATGGAAATCCAGTATTGTCAAAGGATTCAAACTCCCGTAAATCTTCCCAAACCAAACCACATTTACAAGAACGTTTTGGTAAAGAAATATCGTAGTCATTGCCTCGTTTATTCCTCCCCGTTGAGCAAATGCATTTCAGGAATTACTGCCTTGATTTTCCAGGAAAATTCTCATGTGCAATTGATTGTTTTATGGAGTTAAGCTGTTACATTTTTAAAGATGCTATTGAGTCTGTGGAACGCAATGAATTTTTTGAAATGATATACACAGCATGTGTGCAAGTAAATAGTGGTGAAATCCTTTCCAACCAGTTACATTCAGTCCGAGAACCCATTTGGGCCTGGATGAGACAGCACTGTGCCTCTTTTACAGGTATGTCAGATAATGCTGTATTCAGTGACATATTCCAAATCAATACATTTGGAGAATTAACGTTTGGTTAAAATCATTATTTCTTATTCAGCAACATACCAATCATTCCATTTGTTCAGAGTGTAACCAGGAAATCACCAAATCCACCTGATGTTTTTGTCTTGTATATTACCTTTCGCCATATAAATCAGAATGGTTTTGAAAGTTTTGTATCAGAAGCTATGCTGCCAAACATCAATAGACTTTTTTGTGTTTACTGCCAAAATCATTCTGGAAGTGTTGCTTCACTTCGACACTTTGTGTGCCTGCCAACCTTTTTAATGATAGAATTGTCACCTGATTGTATAACTCAAATGTTTTTTCCACGTGATATGGAAAGCTTAGGAGTTTCATACTGCCTCAAAGGAATTGTTAGGTGTTTAAATAGACATTTTACTGTTGCCTTAATAAAAAGTGAGAGCGGCTGGATCTATATTGATGATTTGTGTGCTTCTGTAAGGCGTTTCTTATCCTTTCAAGAAGTATTGTATAGTTATGCGAATGGCTGGTTTTTTGCCATATTTCAAAAGTCTGAGTCTGTAGACATCAATTTACATGAATCTGCAAATCAGACCTGTAATAGCTTCACCATAAACCCAGTTGTTTGCAAATCAGTTTCAAAAGACTCTTGCAGTACGAAAGAAGTGAAGTTAGACCAAAAAGTCACAAGTTATAAAAAGGATAACAGAGTCAAAAGAAATAACTATATGAAGTGTTACAGAAAACAGCCAGAAGTCAAGGCAAAAAATAATGCATACATGCAGAAGTATAGAGGTAAAACTTATTCTGAACTTGACTTAAACGAAAGGGGCAAATTAGAAATACGTAAAAGAAATGAAAACCAAAGAAATGATTTAGTTATTAAATTTACAATGAAGCGGAAAAGTCAAAGCATTAATTCCTCAAGTGATACATATTATGCAGATGAAAACATTAAACGACCTAAACAGGAAATAAGAAAAAGGTCTTCACAAACATCTAGTGAAGTGAAGGAAAAAAAAAAGTTGTACATGCGGGCATACAGGCTCAAAAAAAAAATTCAGATAGTAGTGTAATGACTGAAGGAGTAACAAGTCTGAAAAATGGAGTTTCTAGCCAGGAAATGTATTTATCTGAGTTTAACATAAGTAACTGTGGAGAGCTTCACCAACAAGAGTGGGCAAAACTGAACATGCAAAAGTTTCATGATTCGATGAAGTTAAGAATTTCTTTATGTCAATGCTGTCATGAAGCATGGCCACTTCACATTAAAACAAAAAAGAAAAAGGAACCATATATTTGTACCAGGTGCTTAAGAGACAAGAATGATGCAAAAAAATTTTCATTTGAAAACAGCTTGCTACAGTATGTTGCCCAGTATCCGGACGGTACCAGTATCCGGACACTTGAAACAAAAACTCAATTTTTGAGGCGCCCTTTTCAGTTCTCGGTAAACGAAGTATTTCGAATTAAAGCTGAACATTTCAGCTTTAAGATGAAAGTTTTGGCGATTTGAAAGCTTGCGAAACAGTCGCAGAAGACGGCGTTCTGTTCAGGTGAATAAACTTTTCATGGCTAATATTTACGCTGTTTACTGCGCAGTAAAGGTAGTGCTGCTCAGAAAAGGGAGGGTAGTGTGTGATATTTTCAAAGAAACTGTTTTATTTTTAAAGTGAAGATACTTAAGGAAGTCAGGTTTTCAGAAAGTTTATTAATTCCTCTTGAAATTCGATTTGTTTGGAATAACGGAAGCCAGAAACATTCACTAAGTTTTGATGTCATGTGCCCAGTATCCGGACAGTTTTTTCTTTGCTGTACAGAATCGATGAATTAGCTGTGTACATTCTCCGGATAAGATTTATTTCATATCAGTAACTATAATTAAAGCTTAGGATATATGATATAGTCGTAAAATGTAACTCTACTCAACTCCGTATGGAAATTTTCTTCACTCATTCAGAGGCGACTTGATTTCGTGTGCGCCGCTTGTTTCGCGTGACTGCATTTTCTACATATAACTGAAAGCGTCCGAGTTGAACCTGGAATTATCATACTTTCCCGAGTTGGGACTGCTAGAATGGGGTTGCAATGGTCTAAAAAATGTCACAAAGGGATTGACAGGTGTGAAAGAAGGAGGAATTAGAGCTAGAAAAGAAGGCTTATTGTGGGGACTGAGCATGAAGAAATCAACACTGCAGGTCAGATTAAATAGGAGAGTGACCTTTGACCGTCGGGTTGAGGTCCCTTCCCCAAGCTTTTCTTTAAATAAAAAATGAAGAAAGAAAGTCGTTTGCAGATTGGCTAATTGAGCTTGCAAACTGCGGCTTCGGCATGTCCACGGATGCCTTCCGTAAATCAGTGAAAAAGTTCGTAGACAAAGAAGTGAGAAATTATACCATTTTTAAAACAGCCGCTCGCGTTCCCCACCATACCCCAGTCATTTGTTATGTTTTATTTCACGATGCTAGGTTATATTTTTGGAATCGATTGCCAGACTACTTTGCAAGTGCAAGAGAAGCTTATAAGTCGCTTGCCTGTCGAAATTTATGTACAATTACGTTGTTATTGTTGTGTCCGGATACTGGGCCAGCTGTCCGGATACTGGGCAACATAGGAGCTCTGCAAAAATATTAATTTCGCGATGGAAACAAAGGCAAAAAAGTTAAACTGTCTTTCTTCATATTAAGGACTAGATAGATTTTCTCTGGGCCAAATTTCAGAGCTCTTGCGATTAACAAAGGAAAGTTATTGCAATTTTAAACTGAAGTGTCCGGATACTGGGCAACATACTGTACCATCTGCTGCGCCAGTACAAGTTGAAAATCTGACACAAATAGAAGAAATGCTGATAGCCAGAGTGTTCCCCGTTATGAGTGTTAATACTAATCCATGATGGCAGAGAGCATATAGAGGCCATTGCATCAATTTTCCCCAAGACGTTCAACAGCTTTTTTATACTTTGCCTAGGCAACCAAAAGAATTACCAGTTATTATAGTTACAGTTGATGGTAAAAATGATATGTCAAAAGATCTAATTGTGCGTCGAGAAAAAGTATCATATGCCTTACACTGGCTGGTGAGTCACAATTCTGTTTACAGAGACGTACAGATTGATTATGAATGTTTAGCTCAACTTCCTTTAGAAGGCATTCCAGCCCGATCTCTCAAAAGTAAGGTGCGAAAAAGGAAGCGGAAGCGAAGAATTAGATCCAGACAGAGGTCCACTTGATATTGATGACTTGCCAAACAACGAAGACACAGAGCTGCGTAGTATGTTGTTAAATCCTGTGAAATCCAAGCAACAGAAAGAAATCATAAAAGATGAAATATTGCAGCACAATAAGATTAGATGGCCTGAAAGGGGCCAAATACCTGTTAGTGAATTTAAAGTTGAATTCTTAGCAACAATGGCTTTCCCAACCCTCTTTCCTGATAGCAAAGGAAATCCCACTAACTTGGGAATTAAACGTGATGTTACTTTTGGTGAAAAAATTAAGCACCTTATAAAATTTGGTGAAAAGAACGATGAGAAATGGCATTATAGGTTTGCAGAACACTAGGCATTCAACATGCTTCAGAGACATAGAATGCTTAGCCAAGGAAGTATATTTCGCAATCAAAATCCAGGAGAATCTCACATGTCTGTAGAAGAATTGAAGGAAATGCTTCATTGAAAGAGTTATTCAGGAGTCATGTCTAAGTTGATGCATTATGCAAAAAATTTTACAGGGAGTGATGCTTACTGGTATAAAGCAAAGGATGACTTGAAGGCAATAATCTCACAAGTTGGACCACCAACAGTATTCTTTACTCTGTCATGCGCAGAGTATCACCGGCCAGAGTTTCATCATCTTTTTGAAAATAAGACTATTGAGGAACTATCACCCACTGAAAGGCAATCTAATGTTCTCCAAAATCCTCACATTTTGGATTGGCTTTTCACTGAAAGAACTGATCGTTTTGTAAAATATTGGTTATATGATTCATTAGGTGCTTCCTAGCATTGGTACCGATATGAATATGCTGTACAACGTGGATCCATTCATTGCCACGGTGTTGCAAAGTTAAAGAATGATCCCGGATTATGCGTATTGACTGAGCTTGCTATGAAAGGCTTTCTAGCTGCAAAACTGAAAAATGAAAAGAATGAAACTCTCTCTAAGCAGGAGGTTGAAAACATCGATTGCCTTATAATGAAAGGCAAAGATGCTGAGCAGTTAGTTTGTCAGTATGTAGATTTTCTCTTATCCACGTGGAATCCGTGCTCGCCTGATGAAGGCTGGTCCAAATCGAACTGTCATCCATGCCAAACTTCATATCTCTCTTTACAAAGTAATGATCTGGAAAGAGACTATGTGGATTTACTGAATTCAGTTCAAAGACATACTACTTGCAGTTCAAAATATTGCCTAAGACAAAATGACTTACTCTATACCTCTTTGTTATTCCATTGATGTTGTCATTTTAATTAATATCATTATTTTCAGGTTTCCCCTTGTATAAAAATGTTATAACTTTCTGAGGTGATTCTCACTGTGGTGCTTATTTTATGTGTAACTGAAAGATGGGCTTATTTGTCCTGAGTTGCTAACACGTTATTGTTACTTTAAAAAATTACGGTTCATGATGTCAGCAAGAAAGCAGTGTAGGGGTAAGTTGCAAAATTTTATTCAAGTTGATGTTCCCTATGAAAGAGCTCATATGTTTGATATGATGGGAAAGTGGGGGCAAAGATGGAAAACGTTTTTTAGCTCAAGACACTTGACAAATGTTCAAGCAAACTACGCTAAGATAGCATAGCATGTGTTATCGTGTTAACTATAATCATGATAATAGGGTTATTCTTGCTGTCACTGTAAGCGCATTGATGATCATGCATCCTGAATTTGTTTGCTTTTCTTTCGTTTAGTAAACAAGTATGGGTACATCCTAAAAATAGTCCCCGTCAAAACCGCTGCAAGGTCCAGACATGATTGGTTTGACTTTCACCTGCAAGTTTCACCGACTAAAGTGCAAAG